GACTTGACTTGACTTGACTTGACTTGACTTGACGAGGCATGAACAGACTTGACGTGGCATGAACAGACTAGACTCACCAACAGCGGGTTACAACTTCAATACACATTGAGAGACAATGGCAACATGATGGCTACTTATAACAAACAAGGAGGGTCACATGACATGAACAAACCAATGGGAAACAAGACACATGACTAAGACTACCAATCAGAACATGACACAATGAACAAGAGAACCAATGGCATGAATACATGAGGGCAAGGGAAGCATGACACAAACAGGGACCATGACTAAACTCCAAAATAAAAGACATGAAAACATGAACAAGAAACATAACCCAAAACACTACATTACACCTGGCGACCCCTCACAGAATCCAGTAAATTACTTACTGTTTATTTACTTTTCATGGTATTTCAAACATTGACTTGATTCATGAGATGAACCATATTAATTAAATGTAACCGTTGTAACAATGTTAATGTGTAATGCAGTGAAAGTGTATAATATGAATGTCAGAACGTAGCAGATGAAGCTTGTGAAAAAACTCTGAATCAACTGCTTGGCATCAGTCTAATTTGACTGCTTCCTTACCAACATTAATGGTGCATGAAAATGTGTTTTGGACACGCAAACTTTGACATCAAGCAAAACATGGGAAGTAGTTTCACTTTTTATAGTTGATCAGTCTATCAACCTTAACACAGTCATGGCATTTTATTTCAAGAAATCATGTGACACTCCTGGAACTGTTACACTGTCTATCATATTTGACCTTTGACCGAATCAGTCACTGTAAAAGGCAGTGTTCCTTTTTTACATCAAATAATTACATCAAGAGTTTACAAAACCTCCTCCAGTGGAAAAAACAAACTATCAAACAACAACAACAACAAAAAACTAAAATGTATTTGGAATACATTTATTTTGTGCAATGTATACTACATAGTGCCTAATTATTACGTGGTTTCTAACGTTGATATACTGATGATATTTTTTTTTCCAAGCACATTTTACCAAATCCAAACCACATCAATCTTTATATATATATATAGTTTTAAAAATAATTAATTACAATTGGTTATCCCTAAATTGCAAACAAGTTCTTTAGAAATGTAACGGTGATGTATGAGTTCAGGACTACATTTCCCATAAGTCCGTAGGGTAGCGTAAGGTTTACGTCTGTGCGTGCTATAAATAGACGCACAGTAGCATAGAGTGTTCTCGCCTCATTCATTCATTGATATTACAATGATTTGGTGGGTTACAGAAAGTATATCTATTGAATCTATATCTATAGATGCGCCAAATGATTCACTGATTAACCATTGAGATGAGTTTGATTAAATAATAGACAAATGCATTCAAATAAATGAGAAGACGTGCAAATGAAAAGTTTGATAGTAAGAGCTTTATGAAAGGCAGTTACTGTGAAAGAAACATTTATATAGATGAAACTATAATTTTGTGTTGTGAAAATTATACTTTCTGATTGTGTGTATTGTACTAAGACAATTGAAAATACTCTGAAATGTTCGAAAAAAAAGTACACTTTTGATGATCTGTTGTGATATTAGTACTAAGAGTTTTTAAAATTTAACAGTTGCTTGTGAAAATAGTACCAAAGCGAATAAAAAAAAAACTGCAATTTATGTTTTCTGAACATTAAACTGTTACACAAGTGAGGTGCTGCTGATAACGGTACTTCATAGTATCTGTGGAGAGTACGACACCTACTGGCTGGGGAACAAACGGAGTTTAACACACTCCATTGACGTTCTAAGGAATTATTCAGGAACTATTTTTGTTGGGGAGAAGAATAGGGACTATAGAAACAATATAGAAATATAGAAACTTAATATTAATTAAGCCTACTTGTTTGTTGTTTTAAACAATATCACAATTGCAATCATGCTGTTTTTTGGTATAGAGTAAGATGCCCCCTTAAAGGTGCAGTAAGCGATTTCTGAGAAATGCTGTTGAAAGTGGATATGACCGAGCACCAAAACACACTTGTAGCCAATCACCAGTAAGGGGCGTGTCCAGTAGTGATGGGGGAGGTGCCTGTGTTGAATAGCATGTTCAGAAATTTGGGGGCGGAGGCAAGATAGGGGTGTGATTCTTTTGGGTAGGGGCGTGTTTGTTTTGGTTATTTCAAATATCAACAGCATTTCTCAGAAATCGCTTACTGCACCTTTAAGAACAATAAGCAATGTGATATAATTGTATCATATTTAGATGTTTTGCATGTGGAGGATGATGCTGCATCAGCCATTGTTTGTGTGTCCTTTTTAAGAAATATACACAAAAACCCTTGGTATTCAACACAATGTCATACATCTGTTTTCCAGGCACAGGAAATTAGAT